TGGTAGCCATCCTTTAGAGACAGTTTTCTCAGGACACCCAGGCGTAAAGACACAAACCACAGTCAGCCACAGTCCCACCCGAAACAACCCACACTCTTACATGGCCTGGCGACTTCTGTGAAACCATTAGGCTTTTAGGGGTACCTGGGGGGGGGGGCTCGGTTGGTTTAGCATCTGACTCTTGATTTCAGCTCAAGTCACGATCTCAGGGTGGTGGGATTGGGCGCCACATCCGTCTTCGTGCTCAGCGGGACTGGCGAGGGTGGGGACAGGGAGTCTGCTTGCTTGTCCCTCTCTCTGCGCCCCCCCCACTCTCTCTTGCAAATAAATAAATAAATAAATAAATAAAATCTTTTTTTAAAAAACCTGCTATGTTTTTAGAGTTGAGATCATCCTTTATGGACAAGGCTGCAGTCTTTTTTCCCCAGCGTTAGATCCCTCAGCCTTTTCCTGTGTCACAAACTCTCATCCTTTTAACAGCTGCAGGTGAGGGTCCATCAAGAGGCCATGCTGATGTTCTCGGCTCTTTGTCTCCCTGGGAAATGAGCATAGAGGGCGTGTACTGAACACTTAGCGGGTGCCCATTTCTGCGTGCTTAATCCCCAGGAGACCCCAGGAAGAAAGGCAGCGGCTTTTCTCCTAGTGGGAGAGAGTGAATGCTGGTGAGAAACCTCAGTTCAAATCCCAGCTCTGTCACTCAGTTGCTGTGTGACGCAGACAAGTTGCTTAGCCTCTCTGGGCTGCAGTTTCATTATCTGTACAAGGGGCATAATATGGCTACCTCGTCCAGCCCCAAATTTAAGTGAAGTTCCCCTACTTATTCTTTATTCCACTCGCCATAATTTGCATCCGATGGTTTTCTCGCCTGGTCACTGTCTTCCCTCGATGGAACCCTGGCTCCCTGAGGCGGGCAGTACGGGCCCACCGCCCCTGGGAGGCTGGAGGTCTTGCTCCCCTTCCCCACCGACATAGGCCAGCCACACAGCCCGAAGGACGCGAGCAACTGTTCCCCCCAGAGGAGCAGGGAGGCCGCGAATGTAAAGCCATCCTGAGCCCTAACTTAACACTCTGCCCCCTCCTCGGGCTGCTCGCCCCACGCTCCTCTCAGACCCCCCCACCCCCGCCACCTGCCTGCCCATCCTCTCCCTTGTTCTGGTGCTGGGTGGGACTCCTGTCCTGCCAACTGCCCTGGGTCACCCCCAGGTGACTCCGGGCATGGACCCCATGGGCGGGCCTGCTGGGTTGCCCGCTCGGTGCCTCTGGGTCCTCAGAGGGGTCTGGGCAGGGGACTGGAGGAGGAGAGACCAGGAAGGGACAGTGGCAGGAGCAGCTCCAACTCTCCCTCCCCTCAGCTCTCTCCCCAACCTCCCACCCCCAGACGACCAGCCCCGGGCCACCCAGCGAGGCTCACACACATGGGCCTGACCCTCGTTCTCCTCTGAGACTGACTCCTTGCCCCCTTCAAGGGCCTGAGCCTCTCACGTGACTCTACCTCAAAGCTCAGCCCCAGGACGGTTTTGAGGCTCTGGGGAAATCCGGATCTCACTGAATCTTGGTCCACGTACACTCTGTGTTGGAGGTTCTGGGACCCTAAATGGCTCAGTCAAGGACAATGGGAGGGTCTCAGCCTTAAACCTCCTCCCAGTCCATCCCACCTGTGGCCCCGAACATTCCTTCACTCAGCAAACAGCACGTGCGCTCTGGGTGCCGGAATATGAAAATGAACAAGCCAGACTTGAGGCCCGCGGGGGGCCGGTGGGCTTGGGGTGAGGCTGGCAGAGAGCAAGCCTGTCCTAGTGCCCGGGGAGAGGAGGGGGTCCGAGCACAGAGCCCAAGGAGGCCAGCACCCCCGCGGCATCCTCAGCAGACCCCAAAAAGGAAATGGTCAAACCTGAGGGTCCTGCCTGGGCGTATGCCCTGCCCATGGAAGACGAGGGGACCCAGCTTTCACTTCACCCCTCCCCTTACTCCAGCCCCTTTCCCTCCGCAGGGGGGCACTTCCAGCCACGTAGACAGTCCTGGCCTCCTTGGTTTCTGGCTGCTGGTTTTCTGGGCAGACCAGGGGTAGGAGGATTTAGACCCTACTCTCCTTGCCCGATCTGAGAACTGGGGGGGTCAGGAAGAGTTAGTTAATCCGGCCAGGAACCCCTGGGCCCTTAGTGCCCCTTCTGCTGGAGCCCCATGCACACCTGCTTGTGATGAGAAGCAACCTAAGGTCCCCAGAATGAAGGCGCCCTTTCTGTGCCACTGCTCCGGACCCTCCAAGGTGATCACTCGTGCTCCCAGAACCCTTGCACTTGCCAACACCCACCCCCAGCTTTAAGCTTCCCTTCTGTCTCCACTTGTCCTGAAATTCTCAGAGTCCCCAGAGGCATTGCCTTCTGCCAGACCCTAGGGAACTGTTCCTGCTCCGTGGTCCTATTCCCCATAGGAGCTGGAGGTGGGATACTGCTGGGCAGGGACCAGAGCAGGAGAGAGGAGGCCAAGGATCCCCTCTGGCTGACATATTCAGAAATTCAGTAGAAGGGTGGTTGGATGATGGGAGAGAGTGAGTAGAAGGGAGAAAGGAGAGGAAGATGGTTGGATGGAAGGAAGGGAGGGAGGGAGGAAGAAAGGATGGATGGATGGATGGATGGATGAATAGGTGGATGGATGGATGGATAGGTGGATGGATGGATGGATAGGTAGATGGATGGATGGATGGATAGGTGGATGGAAAGATGGATGGATAGGTAGATGGATGGATGGATGGACGGATGGATGGACAGATGGACGGATGGATGGATAGGTGGATGGCTGGTCAGATAGGCAGGTGGGGTAACAGGGAGGATGGAAGGAAACTGGGTGACAATGACCTCAAGGTGAGGGTGGGGTTTGGTGGTGTGGAGGGTGCTTACACCCAGCTGCCTTCCTAAAACAGATGTTTGTTTTCTTCTTCCCGAAGTGACTCTCCCAGCCTCTGCTGCAGGGGCCCATTCTTAGTCTGTTTTTAGTTCAACAGACGAGAAAGTATTCCTTGGAGCCTGTCTAATTGCAGACGGTTTGCCCTTGATGGGCTTTTGTGGTCACGGAGAGCCACGGATGGAATCCTTCCTTCTAAAACCCTTCCTGTGTTTGAAGACTTCAATTACAAGAAGTGAAGTGCTTTGACTAGGTGGGGTCTTCAAACCAGGCTTTCCCAGGGATGTTTCCCGAGGTGGAAAAAAAATACTTTTATTCTCTTTTTTAAAAATATTGCAAAAGCCTTAAAAGCACTAATAAAAAGAGCAAATCCACTGGGAGACCCCCCCCCCAGCTCTCTTGTGTATCCCGTCAGCTACACCCTTTTGGGGCCCTTTCCGCTTAAGTAAAAGTTCTGAGATTTTAAGGTTGATAAACTGTTCCCACCTCCAGCTACTTGTCTGTGTGACTTTTGTTCCTCCTGTGTCACAAAGCAGACTGGAGAAATCTGGATTCTGGGCTGGTGTATGGGGAGCCCCTTCTGTAACTCCCACTCAAAAATATTTGCCCGCCCAACGCAGCTTCTCCCTTCTCATTAGTTGTTTCTAGAGGAAGAAAATATGCAGCTGGACATGTGATTTCTTCCTTTCCCTCGTTTCACACACTGGGTTCGTGTTGAGTTTTATTTTTCAAGGAGGAATTTCTTCTTTCTTTCTTTCTTTTTTTTTTTTTAGGATTTTACTTATTTGAGAAAGAGAGAGAGAGCATAGGTGGGGGGAGGGACAGAGGGAGATGGAGAGAGAGAAGCAGGCTCCCCGTTGAGCAGGGAGCCTGAGGACATGGGGCTCGATCCCAGGACTCTGGGATCATGACCTGAGCTGAAGGCAGACACTTAACTGAGAGCCACCCAGGCGCCCCTTGAGGAGGAATTTTGTTGGTAATTTTAGAAAGGAAGAAGAAACAAAAATAGAAACCCATTAGACTAATCCTGAAGAAAACCTCATCTCTGCCTTTTTTTTTTTTTTTTTTTAGATTGTATTTATTTATTTCAGACAGAGAGAGAGAGAGAGAGAGGAGGGGCAGAGGGGGAGAGAGAGGGAAAAGCAGACCCCATGCTGGCTGCAAGCTCCATCTCTCAGCCCCAAGATCATGACCTGAGCCAAAATCAAGAGCCGGTTGCTTAACTGACTGAGCCTCCCACGTGCCCTTCTTCCTTTTTCTGATGCCATCCGGCCCCATTCTGTCCCTCTGCGCCAGGGATTCATAGTTCCCCATCTTCAGGCCCTTTTACCAATAGGGGCCTCTCTGGACCCACGACGTGTCATGTTATGGGGAGGTAGGTGGGTTGTTCTTGCTTAGGTCAAGGTTGAGAATTAGCCGGCCTTCTCTTCTGCGCCTTTTATGGCCACCATTCATAAATTTGCCCCACCCCGTTAGGAATCCATTCATCGGCCCCACCAGGGTCTTCTCCTGGTATAGCGGGTCCCACGTTCATTACCAGGGTGGGGGGTGGGGGAGGGGAACGGCTGCATCTCCTGCTCAGTGGGAGCCTGGCGCCTCTCTCCGCGCCCTCCTTCCCAGAGGGACCGCAGCTAGGTGGGGAGCTCCACTTCGCCTCCATGGGCCTCGCGGCCAGGACCTTCCAGTCCATTCTGGCAGCTTGTGCTCATAAACCTGGCTCTGGCTCTAATGGGAGAGAAGACCAGCTTGTTCTTGGGAGCGTTCCGGAACACGGTAGAGAAGGAGTTCTGCTGTGGCTTCTGGGATGGAGCTGGCAGGGGACGTCCCGTGGAAAGCAGCATCTAAGAAGGACTTACAAATAACAATCGATCGGTCCTAAGTGGGCTCAGAAAGTACTCGTTCATTTCAGAATAGGCTCTATCCCTTTGGGAAAGCCTATTGTCGATGCGCTTTGCAAACCCTCTTTGGATGCCGTCCGGGAGCCCGGTTACTTCACTTGCCAATTCCTCGGGCAGATCGCTGAACTCTGATGCCAACAACTGAATCACAATGGCTTACTCAATGACCACTTACTCAGGGCTGTCATCCTCTCCTTCCAGATCGTTCTCTGGGGCCGGACTGAGAAATGCCTGAAGGAGACGACAGAGGAGATCCGGCAGATGGGTACCGAGTGCCACTATTTCATTTGTGACGTGGGTAACCGGGAGGAGGTGTACCAGACGGCCAAAGCTGTCCGGGAGAAGGTGAGTAGCCTGGAGGGGTCCGTCCTCAGTTCAGCTGGACCCAGGAGAAGGCCAGCCACAGAGATCAATCTGGCCTGGGAGAGAGTGTTGCTAACGGCAGGCTGGCTGTTTCTGGGGCATCTTCGGGGACTCTCCCGGGAAGCTGGCCCATGCTGTGTGTGCACGTGTGTGTTGCTCAGGGCAGGGATTAGGGGTGTGGGCTGATTGCATAACACCTGTTGTCCCCTTTGGAAGTTCAGACCTTGTGAGTTTCTGTCCCAGAGTCTGGGGGCAAACATCCCATTGTCCTCTGGGAAAATCCTTGTCCTGACTCCAGCAACCTGTTTGCACTGAATGAGCTCTCAGGGAGCTCCCAGGGAGCAAAGCCCACCCCACTTGGTATCTGGCACACGGCTAACGTTAACTGCTTCCATGTAACAATAACCTCACTTGTCATAAACCTGCTCTGTGCCATAAAGTCTTTCGGACCCTCAGATCGACCTGGGATGGCAGGCAGCCCGGTCTCAGGAATCCAGGTTGATGTCTGGAGAGATGATGTAGCTGTCCGGGGGCATACAGTGAGTGTGGAGGGGGCAGGTCCCTCTGCCCTAAAGGCCCCGCGGCTCCCCCTGCCCGCAGGTGGGCGACATCACCATCCTGGTAAACAACGCTGCCGTGGTCCACGGGAAGAGCCTCATGGACAGTGACGATGACGCCCTTCTCAAGTCCCAGCACATCAACACCCTGGGCCAGTTCTGGGTAAGGGCCATCCCGGGCCCCAAGCCAGCCCCCGGGTGTGACAGTGACCCATTCCTTCCCTCCCGGCTGCCGTTTGGATGTGGAAAGAGGCTCCCTGGGGCTGGGGCTTGTGGATGTCCGAGAAAGTGGAGGTCAAGGCCCTGTAGCGGGCAGGCCCCAGCTGCCTCCCCTCCCGTCCTAGGGGAGCTCATCATCCGGGGGGCACGGGTGCCCATGCTGGCCTGGTGTAGAGGGGCTGCTGGAGGCGGCGGCCCCACACTGACCTCCCGCCCGCCCTCAGACCACGAAGGCCTTCTTGCCGCGGATGCTGGAGCTGCAGAACGGCCACATCGTGTGTCTCAACTCTGTGCTGGCGCTCTCCGCCATCCCCGGTGCCATTGACTACTGCACGTCCAAAGCCTCGGCCTTCGCCTTCATGGAGAGCCTGACCCTGGGGCTGCTGGACTGTCCAGGGGTCAGTGCCACCACCGTGCTGCCCTTCCACACCAGCACCGAGATGTTCCAGGGCATGAGGGTGAGGTCAGTGAGTGGGGGACTCGCCTCCCCCCCACCACCCCGGGCACGGCCCCCAGCAGAGAGAACGGAGTGTCCGTCCAGGAACAGCGAGGATGAATCCCAAAAGTCTTATGTGGGTCAAGAAGCCAGAGGCAGGAGAGGGCATGCTGTGTGACCGCTCCGTATGAAGCTCTAGAGGCCGGCCACGGGGATGGAAACCAGAGCAGTGGCCGTCCCTCGAGGGCTGGGGACATAGCTTGGGAGAAGGCCCAAGGGAACTTTGTAGGCTTTTAAGAATGTTCTCTCTTCCCGATCTGAGCAGTGGTTATGTAGATGAAAACAAGGCAGGCTATACACTAAAGATGTATGCCTTTTTATTATATGCAAAATACAGCTCAATTTAAAGAAATACCGAGGCCAATCAAAGGGACTGGGAACCGTGGCTTTAGAGCTCATGCTTCCCGGCAGCTCACCTTTACCTGTGATGTCCCCTGCCACCCTGGATCCAGTGAGCGCCCACTGCAGCCTCCACCGCTCCTCTATAAAACGGGATGATGAGAAGGGCATCTGGGATGGCTCATTCGGTTAAGCGTCCCACTCTGGATTGGGGCTCCGGTCAGGATCTCAGGGTCGTGAGATCGAGCCCCATATCGGGCTCCACACATTCTCCCTCTCACTTTGCCCCTTCCTCCCCACCCAGCTTTCTCACTTGCTCTCCAAAAAGAAAGGAAGGAAGGAAGGAGAGAAAGAAAGAAGAGAGAGAGGAAGGAAAGAAAGAGAGAAATAAAGAAAGAGAGGAAGGGAGGGAGGGAGGGAGGAAGGAAGGAAGGAAGGGAGGGACGGTGAGGAGGTCCACACCTAGGTTCTGCAATAAGGATGAAATGGGACCTGCCACACAACACCACGTATGTATACAGTAAGAGCCCAATAATTGGTGCTACGATGACGAAGGTTTGTGAAGCCGCATAAGGTCATGGAGAAATGACAATGCGGAATTACCCAATAGCTGCTCTCCCTGCTTTTTACAACAGAGCACCCAGTTACAAACTTCCCTTCCAAATCTGGAGCACCACCTTCTTCCCCAAACGAGGATGACGTGGAGGGTCCTCGTGGGAATCGAATGAGTCAGCCGGCGGAGGGCCTTTCGCAGAGCACAAACTGTGTGGGGTCCCTCCGTCTCCCCGAGCTGTTAGTATTGAGTCATTTGGCGATACCCCCGGGTCTCTGGATTTGCAAAACCTTGAGCCAGTTTTGCCGACTCCCTGAGCCATACTCCGCTGGTCTGTAAGAGTGGACATCATACCTCCCTGAGGGGCTCATGAGGAGGGATCGAAGCAACACACGGAAGGTTCTGGTGCAAAGCCTGGCCTACAGACCCCCAGTAACGAACTGCTGCTCTCCTGTCCTTGCCGTCAGCGAGCATCTCTGAGAAGCCGTATGTGATTAATCTTCCTCGCCGATCACCCCTTCCATGTGCCACCAGAATTTCTACCTGCTGGTCATGCAAAGCATCGTGGATTCTATATGTAGAGGAGGTTCGATAAATGACAGTTAATGTCCCATGTTGGCTCCCTCTCCCCTATCACATTTCAAGTTTGGCTTCTTTTCTTCAGGGTATACAGGAGGTGCTCTGTAAATGCGTATTGGATGGAAGAGCAACAGGGGCAATCCGGGGTTTTGGCTGGGCTCCAGAACACAGAAGTAGGTGGGGCATCAGCAGGCCTCTGGCAGGTTGTCTGTCTCACCTTCTGGCACGTTAAGGAAGTGCAAGGTTCCCCAAGCCATGTTTCTGCAGTGGTTCCGAGTGTGGACCCACACAGCCTCGGGCCAGCTCCGTGGGACCTGGACAAGTCACTTTAGCTTTTCTGTGCCTTGGTTTCATCTCTAAGAAGGGATGGGTAATGTAGCCCCGCTTCACAGGTTAGATGAGCCCCGAGATGGGACTCCACTAGCCTGCCCGACAAGTAGTAAGCTCTGGAGAAGGCGCCTGCGGGTGTGTGGCTGAGCCCCAGGGAGTTGGGGGAGGAGTCAGAAGAGGATTATTGCTGTCTAGCCACCTCCCACTTCTCAAAGGAAAAAAAAAGAAGAAGAAAACCACTAGCTTCCTCCCCAACCATGAGAAAACTGATGGGCTTTCTGGCAAAGCCTTGGGGACCCATGTCACCCACAGGGGGAAAGGAGAAGGACCCTCCAGCGGCCGTGCTGGCATCCGTCAGGTTCTTCCGCAGGGGCCTTACTAGGAAGGGCCCCCCTGAACCCACGGAGCTTGGCCCATGCGCCCCGCCTTCCCTTCCTCCAAGGAGCGAGCAGGCCCGGCCCAGGTCGGGGCTGGAAAACCAGACCATGCACTGTGTCTGTAGGGATCTGGCCTCCGTGAGCCGCCTCCGCGCAGTCCTCTCCGCAGGCCACGGGGGCTCCCCTTCTAGACCACAGCAGGGCTGGGAGCATCTCGGCCGCACCTTGGGATAGCAAAGGAAGCCCCTGCTGGGGAATGGGTGTGGGGGACGCCCACGGGCTCTCTGAGACCAACCCAGCCCATGCTTGGGTCCCAAGAGTTGCCTTTGCTCAAGGTAACGTCAGCTCTGAGTGACTTACCTAAGCCCTAACTGCTTCTGGGCCCCAAACAGCCCTCAAGCCCTCACAGGGGGGTCACGGTCAGCCCTGGGCCTACAGGCCCACAGGGGCGAGGACAGACTTTTGGCCTGGGGCCCCTGCTGGCCTGGCTTGAGTCCTTAGGGCCTCCCCTAATCTCCCCAGAGCCTCAGCTTCCTTCTCTATAAATTGGAGCAAATGACTCCTGTTTCGTTTCGCACGGGTCTGGAAGGTAGGGGTGTCATCACCACGTGGGGTTCAGGTCACAGGCCTCCGAACAGGCATGAGAAAGTTCCCGGCGTCGGCGCGTTCAGTCGTTCATTTACCAACCCCTTGGAAAGCGCTCTGTCCGCGTTTGGAAGGCCAAGTCAGTGAATCCGTGAATCAGCGAGGGAAGCAGTGAGCCGGGCAGAGAGGGGCCATCCCGCAGACCCCTGCCTCCGACAGGATGAGCAGGACACATTTGGGGAACAGCGGATTGTTCCGTGTCCATCTGTTCTGCGAGCACTGATTGAGCACCACTGTGGACCAGACTCTGCACCGAGGGGAGAACACAGAGAGCAAGACCGACCAGACCTCTGCCCTTGTGGAACTCACAGTCCAAGGCGGGAGACAGGCCATGACCAAGAAGACAGACAGGCAGGCGAGGCCCTTCCCGAGGTGGTCAGTGCGGTCCAGAGAGTTAGCAGAGGGAGGAGCGCAGAGGCCACCCCAAGTGGATGGGCTGAGAACCCTCTCGAATGGGGCTGCCAGCAGAGAGCTTAAGTGGCAAGAACAGAAAGGTTGGCCAAGGTTGCTGGAGCAGAGTGACACGGAAGAGGGGTCAGGCGGCGGGTGAGCGGGGCCCACATGGAGCAGGGCCGTGGAGGGCCCTGGGAGTCCCTGGGAAGGGCTGGGCCAGGCAGACACAGGATCGGAGTGACATTTTATTTTATTTTTAAGATTTTATTTATTTATTTGACAGAAAGAGAGAGAGAGAGCACACGCAAGCTGGGGGAGCAGCAGAGGGAGAGGGAGAAGCAGAGAGCCTGATCCGGGGCTCGATCCCAGGACCCTGGAATCATGACCTGAGCTGAGGGCAGCCACTTAACCGACTGAGCCCCCCGGGCGCCCCTGGAGTGACACTTTATAGGATCCCTGGGAAGCATTTTGGAGAATGGGTCCCAGGGGATGGGCTACAAGATCTCCATTCTCAAGGGCAGGCTCACTGGGGAGAAAGGGAAAAGGGGGGGCGCTCACAGCGCTACTGGGGACAGCAGGTGGGGGTGGGCAGAGCCTTCCAAAGGAGACTCAGGTCTTCCAAACAGCAGACGCCAGAGGGATGGGCCAGATTTGTGAGCCACGGAGGAGGTCAGCAGAAGCATGGGCTTCTCTAGCAGAATCCCCTATGGTTCTTCCTGTGTCAGGTTCCCCAACCTCTTCCCACCGCTGAAGCCTGAGACAGTGGCCCGGAGGACGGTGGAAGCCGTGCAGCTGAATCAAGCCCTCCTCCTCCTTCCGTGGACCATGCATGCCCTCATCATCTTGAAAAGGTAAGTGCTGGGGGTCGGGGGGTGAGGGGTGGGGGGTGGACATTCGGAGACGGGCTCCTGCTGGCCATTCCCCTTCTGCCAGGGAACCCTGGTGGGGAGGAGGCGGCAGGCAGGAGAAAGGACTCTGTGATCGATTAGTCATGTCTGCCGTGGGCATGAAAGTGAGCACAAGCGGCCTGCGTGCCTGGGATTTCCTACACTTAGGATGGAGCCGCCGTTTTGAAACTTGTGGGTCTCGGGACTCCTTTACAATCTCAAAAATTAAGGGAAACAACGTGAGTTGTCTCTATTCTTAGTTACCGTATGAGACATTAAAACGGAAAAAGTTTTACAAGATTTATGTATTTGTTTATATTTAAAATATTTGCTCATGTATAAACAGCAGTAATAAATCCATGTCCATCCCTTGTTCACAGAAATATGATATATTTATAAAAAGGGTATTTTCCACCAAAAAGAAAAAGTAGCAGGAAGAATGGCCTTGTTTTGCATTTTTGCAAAGTTCTTTATTGCCTGACTTAATTGGAGACAACTGGACGCCTAGATCTGCTTCTGATTTTAATTGGTTACAATGTCACGTGGCATGTCGCCTCCAGAAGACTCAGCTGCATGTGGGAGAGAGGTGTGCAGAGGCAAAACCGTCTTAGTCTTATGACAAAAACAGTTTGACCTCTGAAGAGGTTTCAGGTGTCCCCCAAGGGTTCCTGGGTTCACCCTTTGAGAACCACTGTTCTGGAGACTAGCACTTGGCCCCAGTGTTCAGGAAGTTCAATCTAATGGGGGAAAACAGGGATCTCAATGTTTGGGATTCCCGGAAGTGCTCCAGGGCTGGTCAGATGGGATATACCAGGAGGTCGGCTTCAAAGAGGAGATCATCCTCCTTCAGAATCGGTGCAGCATCACGTTTCCTAGAACTTTCTAGACTCTGAGCAGCACACCCTGCCCCTCCCAGCCCTGCCCTGAAGGGGCCATTCCAGGTACCCAGCGAAACCTGGTGCTTCAGGGAGAGCTTGGACGCTGGAGCCCTGTGGCTGTCGACTTCTAGCTCCTCTGGGCCTCGTCTTGTCCCCCCCGCCCCCCGCTGACGGGGCCCCTCTGACCTGAGAGGCCTTTTCAGGAAATGAAGGACCCAAGTGCCTTCATCAGACATCAGGGCCCAGGAAACAGGTTCCCTCTGGCTGTGTGTCTACAGCTGAGAAGTTGCTCTAACCGCAGGCACGGGGACCTCCTCACGGAGGGGACCCATCAGTCCGTCCAAACTCAAAGCTCTTTTAGAGACACCGAGTAGGGGCAGGGGCAGGGGGCACCTGGGGGCATTTGGGCCACATCTTTGCGTCCCTTAGTCGTCGCGACTGTTGCTCTGAGATGCTCCTTGCTGCCTCTGTGACCCTAGGCAAGTCGAGACTGCCGCCCTCTACTGCAGGGTGCTTCTCAGAAGCCTTTCTGAACATTCTAGAAAAAAGCTGGTTTGTCTAGAACATGTCAGTGTTTTCCCCCAAAACCCCCTAGCCTAAATTTCCTCTTCTATCCCCTACTACTTTTCCACAGGAAGCAGAGGCCATCCCCTTCCTCAGCCCCTGTACAACACCCACTTTTCACCGTCCCCGAGAAAAATCTTTACAAGCTCAACTCTAGCGCCACACGTGCTCCAGGGAGCCTTCTAGATTGCTCTGGGTGGAAGTGAGCCCTTCCCTTCCTGCACTGAGAGCAGGCCAGGGCCCTTCGATTTGATTTAACAAATGGACTGAGGGGCTCTCTATGCCGAGCCCTGCCTGTGGGGCTTGGGTCAGAGATGAGGTCTCTCCCTCCGCGGCAGGCATGGGCCTGACAAGCCAACAGCAAGGACATGGCAGGGGCCACTGGGGAAGCACAGGGGCTGTGGGAGCCCAAGGAGAGGCCTGGGGGTGAGTCTGGGAAGTTTCCCTGGAGAGAACAGCAGGGCCTAACCCCTCCATCCCACACAACAAATATTTGTTGAATAAGTGGAACGTGGAGTTAATTGATCAGATAACTAATCGATCAGATAACGACTGGCTCCCAAATGCTAAGAACAGGGTTTTGAAAATTTGTTTCTACCACCCACCTTTACTTCGGAAAGACTGTTTATCCACTCACTCGAAAGCCCTCCCTCCATGGGGGTTGGGGGTGGTCCGGGGTGGGGGGCGGGTATCAAAGCCACTGCTCTACTGTGTGGTTCTCTGTGGCCATTGGTGAACTGGCTGCCGGTGTCCCCATTAACCATCTTCCTTCTCCCTCCCCCTTCCCCAGCATACTCCCACAGGCTGCACTGGAGGAGATCTACAAATTCTCAGGAACCTACACCTGCATGAACACTTTCAAAGGGCGGACATAAAGACCAGATGCAGAGACACGCTTGCAAGCCACGGAACCTGAGGGGGCCACGGTACTGGGCACACACCCATGTGCCTGTCCCTTGGCACACTTCTTCTGCTGGGTGAGCAGGACTGCTCCTGGCCCCAGGAAGAATCCGGTGCCCTCCCCCTGGCCAGCCCCAGGACCTTTGCACAGGACTGATGGGCATAACTCTGACCCCCATGGGGAGGCGAGAAACCAGCCAGTAGCCACCTTGACACTTTCATACATTTCTAATTCTGTAGAGTTTATTGTTAAATTGCTTCTAACCAGCCTTAGCAGTGTGCATAGACTGTTTCCAGGAGGGTCAGATACTCTCTTTTTTCTGAAAAGATACCCAGATACTCTCTTTTTTCCGAAATCCACCCATCCTCAGCTTGTGCAAATGGCACATTTGAATGGCAGGAATGAAAAATAAAGAGATGGTTTTTGTGAGCTCCCTTGTTGAAATCCTTGACCCCTCGTCCTTGGCAGTGGGGAGGAGACGATCCCCACCATAAAACCCCAACCTTTAAGAAATGGTCGGTCTGCTTAGGGCCCCCAGCTGCCAGGAGTGGAGCTGGCAAGAAGAGGGCAGAGATGGTGAGAGAGATTGGGTCCCGCGCCTGGGGTGTGTGGTTCCTTGCCGCCTCTGCCAGGCCCCTCCAACAGCCACGGGTTGGGGGCACTTGGCCTCATCATCCACGGCCTGAATGAACTTGGCTTCGGGGAGCTGCCCTCCGCCCTGCCCCTAGCACTACCAGCCACAAAGCGACTAGCTCAGGAGAACGGACCAGTCCTTAGTGAGCACCACTGAGCAGCGGGTCAGTCTACCGGCCATGACAGGGTACCGAGAGGCCACGTCGCCGAGGAGCCCAAACTCTGAAGACCACCAGCACCAGCTGTCCCCTGCTAAGCAGCCCCCTGAGCCAGATTGGATGGCAGGAGCTAGAAGGGAAATAGAAAGCAAAGAGGAGGTCTGGAATGGCACAGTGGACCCGGGCTCCGTCACCAGGGAGGATCACGGCCAAGGAGACGTGGGGAGAGATGCCCGGGGTTCCTCTGCTGTGTGTTTCTCCTTGCAGCAAGCTTGTCAACGTGACCTCGGGCAGGGGGACAGGGGGACAGGGACCTCTGGCCATATGGCTCTTACAGGTGGGTGGCCAGGTCGGGGGGGTGATGGGCAGCCACTCCCCAGGGGTAAAGGAGAAGGTCACAGGCCCAGAGTTCAAGGTAGGAGCTTCCCCGGGCTCTGCATACGGCAGCCCTTATACAAAATTCACATTAGTGGAAGATTGATCTCAAGGTCCAGATGATCGCCAGTCAGGACCATGCAGAAATGCCAAGTCATGATTGTGTCCACTGGTTATGGAGTACATGCCAAGTGGGCACCAAGCCAAGGGCGTCACATTTGAACTGTTAAATTACCCACTGCACCTGGCAGCAGCCCCTGGGAACCCCTCCCAACAGCCGCAAGGTATGTCAGCCAGGACGTGACCCCAGGTCTCCATGACTTCTGACAATGGAGGCTTGTCTTAGAATTGCCACCTGTCGGCCAAGAGTGGCGGTGGCTCAGCTCTGTGTTCTCTTCATGCTGGGGACCTGGCTGAGCAAGGAGCCTTCGTCTGGGCCGGTGACTAGGGGCAAAGGTAGACGCACCTGAAGGTTTCTGCCTGGAAACAAAGCACGTCACTTCGGCTCCCATATCATTGGTCAGAGCAGGTCATGTGGTCAAGCCTGCCCTGGCTGCCCTTCCACTCCCCGTGGAATCGTGGCCCATCGCTCTGAACTATAATGCAATCGGCCACACACCACAGTAGTTGTCCCCGAGAACGTGTCAGCAGAGGATGGAGGGAAGCAGACAGATGCCGCCCTGGGGTGTGGTGGCCTTTCTGTGCGCACACCAGGTTCTGAGCAGAGCCCCAGAGAAGCGCGGACCGGTTTGTGGGGTGCTGTTAGAAAGATGGTCTGGTAGGTGAGCAAAGAGGCTCAGAGCAAGGAAATGGCTTGCCCAGGCTCCAAGGGCTTGTGACACGGGAGGTAGAGTTCGAGCCTCACTGCAACATGTGACTTGTCACCTGCATTTTGGTTCTTGAGATGTGTCCCCAAAGTGAGGGGGTGGGTGGGAAGAAAGCTTCTAACGTGTCCCCCTGGCCAACCCGGTGAGGGCAGGCCCAGAACGTCACACATATCAATCACCCCATTGTGGCGTGTCTGGACGACATGGTGTGGGGTCCAGGGGCTGGACCTGCCCCTCTGCTGTCCCAGGAGCCTGTCACCAGCTCTCACAGGAGGAGGGTTGCAGGTGGTGGCACGTCTTCATGGGCAGGGGTAGATGAGGAAGAAGAAGGGGAGATCCTGTCTGCCGAGCCCCGAATTTTCTGGTCATCCTTTAGCAGCACGAAGATTTCTGTGTTCCCAGCCGGCTCCAGGCCAACCGTTTGGAGAGGATTTGACTCCTAAGGTTTCCATGAAATTCCGCATTTGGCCTGCAGGCCAGGGACACAGTGAGCACCCCAGGGGTTCTGAGTGGACTCTGGGAGAGACAAGGGCCGGCCAGCCCTCCCCAGGGCCCACTGAGAATGGAACTGCCTGGGCTGCAGTGGATCGTCTCATCTCTCCAGAGCCCCAGGGGTTTCTCCTGACGGCCAGGCAGGGCTTGGTCCTACCCCTTCCCCTCCCTCTCCGCTGGGACACTTTCAGTCTTTCCCTGGATCTCTTCCCAGAGGAACCAGGGAAAAAGCCTTGGGCAGATTCCCAGGAGGCCCTGGCCTGGTCCCTCCCCAGGATGGTATGGGTGCTTGGAAAGCCTTGAGAGTGAGGGACGAGAGCTAATTCTGTCCCCGAGCTTAGCCAAGGGAACAGAGTGACAAACCCTGAACTCTGGCTTCCTGACCCCCCGAGGAGCAGGACAGGGCATGCTGACCCTGCAGAGAAAGCGTGGGCCCTGGGAAATGACCCAGTTGCCATGCCAGAGGCTCCTCCAGAAAGAACCAGATCCGAGGTGGGCACCAAGCCCAGGGAGGCGCCAGACCCGAGCCCATCCTGGCAGGCTTCCAGGGACCAGCCTATCTGGCCTGGCAAGCGGCCAAGGGCTGAATTCTGTGGCCCCAGCCCCTCTCCCGGGGCCAGAACACTTTAAGAAGTGGAGACTCTTCTTCTTGGGCCAAACCGATGGTCAGGAGGGACCAGGGGGAAGACAGGGCTCAGCCCTGCTCCGCGTTTCCCCCAAGAGCCCCCTCTGAGGGGACAGACAGCCCACGTCCCTGGGGTTGTCCCAGTGTGATGGGGGACCAAAAAAGGAGCCAGGTCCCGAACAGGTGACCCCTGCTGTTGGGGAAGACAGCAACAGCAGGTGGGCGGATGGGCCGGGGGTCAGGGAAGCGCCGCCGTGAGGGCTCCCCTTCCCACCACAGTGCTTCGGGACGTCTCCCTCAGAGGGGGTTTCTCGCATTTTCAGGAAGGGCCTTATAAAGGGGGGGATCATTCATAAGAGCTCAGAGGTCTGTGTTTGTGAAGAGAACGTCAATACAGAGACACCCCTCACTTCAGGCAAAGCAGGGGGTGACGACCGTGTCCCTTGGTGCAGCAGGAAGGCTTGGAACCGCTGGTGGGTGCCCCAGCCTCTCCGTTCCCCTTCCGTAGGGATCTCACCCCAGGGTCCGATTCACCACCATCTGTCAGCACTCTTCTCTTCAGAAGCTGTGGGCTGCGAGCTGTGGCTCAGGAACCTGGGCTGGTGTCGCCTCTCACCTCTCACATTCCCCACCCATCCAGACCCTCAGCTTCCAGAAACCCAGCAGACCCCTGAGCAACCTGCTTCTCTCAGCCCTTATGGCCCAGGGGCTCCCCAAGAGGCAGGAGGCCCCCAGGGGACTCTGGACTCTGGATTTCCACTGGCTGTTCCGTCATCTCCTGTGTGTGAGGTCACCCCTCTATCCCCGAGGAAGGACGAGACGTTCCTGCCCTCCAGCCTCCTGGGCAGGGGTGAGTGCCCAGTGCAAAGGCTCTGGAAACTCCAGGGCATGTGTGATGCTGGCGGCTCCCACAGCTCCCAGCCAGGACCCAAGGGCCCCTCAGGGCCCCTGGCGTCACCATCTTGGCCTGGCCTGGCCAACCCTGTGACAGAAGCGTCCTTCAGGGCCCGGCCATAGTTCCCTCGAGGCTGGGGTGGAGGGAAGCTTAGCTCAGGAGGCCCCAACACGGGCAGCAGGTGCAGGGCTGGAGGAGGCCTTTGGGGAGGGCAGAGCAAAGAGGTCCCCCGGGGAGGTGCTTCGTGGGGGGTGGGGGTGGGCTGCTGTCTTCCAGCACATGGGGCGGTGTGGGGGAGGACATTTCTCTAGCCCCTCCCGCCACGGTTGGCTCAGGGCAGGTCATTTGTGGCCAAGTTTCTCTGTGGCTGGGGATGAAAATAAGCACAGATTTCCCCCAGGGAAGGCATCGCAGGGAGGGGCGTGGATGGCAGGCCTCGGAGAAAGGGCCACCACCCCAAACTCACTGCCTGGGGAGCCCCGGACAGGGCAGCCCTGCCGGCCAGCGCACAGCTGTGCGACCCAGGGGGTCACCCCCTGCCCAGGATGGAAGCAGCTGGAAGGGAATATCTCTGCAGGGCCCAGAAGCCTGGACGCCAGGTTGCTAAGGTCACCAGGTCGCACCTGCAGAGCCCCCTCTCCAGCACGCACCGGCCCGGCTGGGATGGGGCCTCCAGGAGGCTCGCACCTGACCCCCGCGGCCTGGGCCACCCCACCTCGGCCTCTCCCTTCCTCCCTTCAGCTCCTGTCTCGTGGGACAGGAGGCGGGGTCCCGCCATGATTCCTGCTCTGTGCGCGGCCCTTGCACTCTGCGGGTGCAAAGTGGGGGCGCTTGGTACAGTCATCGGACCGTGCCACCGCCGCAGACATCTTCGGGAACGTTCGCGTGGGATGTGCCCTCCTGCGTCTGGCTTCTTTCCCCCCAGCAAATGTGTTCAGGGCCTACCCTGCCCAGGGCCCAGGGTAACTGGGCCTTTGCACAGCTGAATGACCCCCCCGCGTGTGTGTCTACTACCGGCGGTTCACCTGCTCCGCACCCCACTAGGGTGCTCCGGGCCGGCCGTTACTGTCTCCTTGCTCCTTGGGTCGGTCTGACTCCCCCCCCCCCCCCCCCCCCGAATGGACACCCCATGAGCCACAGGGCAAGTCCACATTCACTTGTCCCACACCCCCACCCCCGGGGGGAATGTGTGGTGCCGCGGGGCCCCCGGTGGAGCCTTTGTCAGAGGCAGCAGCCACAGCACACCCCGTCCCCCTGCCCACCTCCCCTTATACTCCAGATGGGCCCGAGTCATAAAACCAACATTTACCATGAAATGTTCAGGGCCCCACGCCAGCATCTCACCGAGGCTCTAGGGACGTTTGTATGTTTAGGTGGGGACAGCTCTCCGTGGGGACCGTCCTGGGCACTGCAGGATGTT